GGCTTTCCTTTGTGATATCCCTGAACAGGGCAATATGTAGAAATTCATTGAAAATAAGAGGAGGTTGCCTCGGCAACATACGTATTGATAGTTCTCAGCATATCCATCATGTGTTTCCTCTTAGCTTCTTCGGGCTCCAGGATTACCACAGTATTTCTGGCAATAAGCTGCTCCTTAGGCTGAAGCAAAATAGAGTGATTTTCGTCACAGTTTAGCCTGGTGGTGGCATTTTGCAGGTTTCGTCGATCACTGCCGATGCCTCCTGTAGATGTCTGTACACTCTTGTGAAGCTATACAAGAGTGCGACATTCGTTTGCACTTGACAAGGGTCTACAGATCTTACCAAGTAAGAGGTATAACTTAACAGAAGTTAGCAAAAGAGTCCAGCGGAAGTGAAAAACGTCACCTTCCTCCCCTCCCTCCTAAGTCTACAGCGTCCAATTTCCTGTAGTTCTCCTTGAATATGAATGTGAGGACGACTTACCTCTTTCTGTTTATCCTCATATGTCGGTTTCAGCTTGAAGGGTAAGCTCTGCTGAAGCTTGCTGGGCACAACAAGTGGAGCCGGTTCCAGTTCATCACGTTCGACGGGCTAGAATAAGCATTTTGAGAGCCCTCTCCTATCATTTACAATCCTTTTACAGCTAAGGCAGCGCTCAGACTTGTAGCGCTACACTGCCGCGCTACACTGTCGCGCTACAACGTCGCGCTACACTGTCGTGCTACAAGTGAACTTGACATCTCACATAATGAGTAGAGTTCTGACCAGATCGGGTGCAAAGTAATCCTTTTCCTGGCGCAATGATAATCCAACCGTTAAAATTTGCCTAGTAGCGGATTTCCAAACAGTTGACCTAAAGAGCCCAAGGGCATAACTTGTTTTTTTTTACTTATCCATACACTGTAGACTCACTTCTTTACAATCCGGAACTGCTTCCTTGTTGCGAAAAGAGTAGGGAGATATCGGAGAGATATTATGTTCTTTCTTTCGGTATTCAATCCCTTTTACTTTGTTTCTCATTTTTATATGAATAGCTCCTCTTTTTCACTTTGACATTGAATTCAAACAGAGCAAAA